GGCTGCACGATTGAGCTCGCCTGGGATGTGAACGGCGCGAAGCGACCTCAGATGCTTCTGACTCCAGAGGAGGAGATGGCGGGCGAGTTGCGACATGCGATGGGAGCATAGACCGCCCTGGTGGTTGATGTACGCAATGGTCGCAGTGTTGTCCATATGGACCAGTACATGCTTGTCGTGTAGCAGCGATTTGAAGCGGCACAGAACCAGCCATACTGCTTGCAACTCGACGCAGTTGATATGCCACTGCAGTCGGGGCCCCGACCAGAGCCCCGCAGCTGCATTCCCATTGCACATGGCCCCCCAGCCCCTGGCAGAGGCATCTTTTGCCACAACAACATGCCTGGATACTTGCCCAAGGGACACCCCTGTCCAGAGAAAGGCAAGATCTGTCCACGGGCTGAGGGTCTGACGGCAGAACAGGGTAACAGTTATATTTGAATATATTTTAAAATATAATTTATTTCTGTGATTAAAGCTGAATTTTCATCAGTCTTCATTGTCACATGATCCTTCAGAAATCATTCTAATATGCTGATTTGCTGCTCAAGAAAATTGTTTTCTTATTATATTATTATTATTATTATATATAAACAATTGTGCTGCTTCATATTTTTGTGGAAACCATGATACATTTTTTGATGAATATGAGGTTCATGAGAACCGCAGAAATAGAAATACAAATGTGGTTCCTGTCACTTTTGATCAATATAATGTATCCTCTCTGAGTAAAAACAGTCATTTCTTAAAAAAACAACAGCTTACTAAACTTTTACTCAATTTTTGAACAACTATGTATTTAGATCTGTTGTCTCATTCCACTGTATATTTTTAATGTGAGACAAGAGATTTGTAAGCTGAAATGGTTGAAATGATGCCTGAATTTAAAAGTATATAAATGTTATATTATGTTATATATGTATATGTATGTATGCATGTATACACACAGTATATGCTTGTCTATAATCACCTTCCCTCCAGTCCATCTACATATTCTTTCTTTTTCTTGCGGCTCTCCTGTGCCGACTGCTTGTTCCGGATTTTCCTACGAATCTTCTTCAAAATCTTTTCTTCATACTAAGAAAATCACGAGAGAATGGGCCAGACAAAATGTTAAGATGAATTCATCTAGAAATTAAATGCACAGGAGCAATTATTTTGTTAGGTCTGAAACCACAGGCGACATCTGAGTCAAATCAAATCAGCTTAATCTTGTCATTATCTATTATTCTAGCACACAGAGGGAGAGAAACCTCGGCAGCTGAAATGAATTAGGTGTTATTTTGATGAGAGGTGCCTTTCATCACTGACGTCATTCATCTCAGCCTCTATAAAAGCTTCCTTCCTTCCTACTGATGTCTGATCAGGCTTCCAGCAGTAAACGTGGAGGAATGACACGTGGAAAGGTTGTTACTGTGATGATATTACAAGAGTGGTCATATGATGTTATGATGTCATAACCACAGATGTGAGAGATGTGTACCAAAAACTTTATAGGTATAACAATATGGTGCACTTTATCACTACAAATGGAAGAATATGCAATGCAAAATATAATGGAATAAGTCCCATCTTCTAAATAAAAAGAGTCCAATCGGCGTCATTGCATCAAAAACATCACAGTGAATCTTGTGAAGTAAAAAGCTGCTTGTTTGTATAAAGCAAGACCATAATCATTAAGGCAACTTTAAACCAAAATACGAGTCCATAGTCCATAATAACGCTTCCTCCAGTGAAAAAAGTCCATCCCCTGTTGTCCTCACATCAAAATCCACCCACATATTTATTTTGGACTGTTTTGGACTGTTTTCACTTGTGTGCGATGCTTGATCTGTGCAGATTTCTCTCCTGATTCTTACAAGATGAATTTTTCAATAAAGAAAGCAATATTATGGATAGAGTCCAGTTTGAAGTGGAAAACGTCAGCGCTTCACAAGACATTAATTGTGGATTATTGTGATGTTTTTATCAGCTGTTTGGACTCTCATTCTGACGGCACCCATTCACTGTAAAGGATCCATTGGTGACCAAGTGATGTAATGCTAAATTACTCCAAATCTATTCTGATAAAGAAACACATTGTTGGATGGCCTGAGGGCGAGTCAATTTTCCGCATATTTTTATTTTTGGGTTAACTATTCCATCAACACTATTTGTTTATGTCAGATTTTTTGTTGGTTTGAAATGTGTTATTTTTTAATTGTAAATCACTTCTTGATTTCCCCATTCAAATACATAGGAATTGGTTTTGGATGCCCAAAATGATTGCTATGTTTGCCAAGTGGACAGACTTTCCTTGAATGGAACAAAAGGTTGAGGTTTTAGCTGGTTAGCTAATTAAGGTGGAGTTTCAGATTGAGGGCGTGGTTTTGGAGAGATGGGTGTGGTCTAATTCAGATAGAAACTGTGTGTTCAAAATACCTTGTTAAGAGGAAGTTGGCTGGGAAGACTGACTCCTTCCTTGGTTAAAAGTTTCTTCTCATCTTCATTAAGAATCAGTTCCTGCTGGGATTGCTGGGTAGAGGGTTTCGACTAGACAGAAACACACATTTTGTTTCATGTTCTTTCAAATTTGTATTGCATATTATAATTTATTTTGTAAGCAGCTGTGGATATTATTAGTTGGGACGAAGCTGCAAAGTGCCACACAAGGACACTCCACTTAGTCTCAGGAATCAATGCATTGCATTGCATAATGACAACAAATCCTTTCAGACTCAGGAGTTCAGGAAAGTGCTACATCAATACATCTGCTCACTTGTTTTTTTCCGGCGTACATCACAACACATAAATCAATGACTCAACACAGCAACAAGCCAAACACTGAAACAGCATCTGTGGAGGTATTAAAGTGTTGTGAAATGCAGTAACAGCTCTCTATTGTGCTTTATGTTGCCCGGGAATGTTTACAGGTCAAAGTCATTACCAGTGAGCTACAAGAAGAGCTGTTTGATTGAACACATTGGCCACTCCATCCTAAACATGCCGTTATCTGTTTAAAAAACACTATTAAGCTGCCTCGCTGTTTACTGTCTGTGTATGTGTATGTGTATGTATGTATGTGTATGTGTATGTATGTATGTGTGTGTGTGTGTGTATGAATGTATGTGTATGTATGTGTGTGTGTGTGTGTGTGTACTGTATGTGTATGTGTATGTATGTATGTGTGTGTGTGTGTATGTGTGTGTGTGTGCGCATTTTTGTGACAAATGAGGACATACATTTGTATAATGACAAAGGTATGACATAGGTATTACAAGGAGAAGGTGACTTTTCAGGACATTCCCCCATGTCCCCACTTTTCAAAACGCTTATAAATCACACAGAATGGAGTGTATTGAAAATCTGAAATAGCACAAAGTCTCCTGTAAGGGCTAGGTTTAGGTGTAGGGTTGGTGTAGGGCAATAGCACATACAGTTTGTACAGTATAAAAACCATTACGCCTATGGAGAGTCCCCATAAACCATAAAAACAAACCTGTGTGTGTGTGTGTGTGTGTACTGTATGTGTATGTGTATGTGTGTGTGTGTGTGTGTGTGTATGTGTTAAGACGCCATGTGGTGATGGAAAGTTCAACTTTTAAAGACCCCTATGTTCCATTCCATTTTTTAAATTATATATATATTTTAGCAGTGATGCATTTATGCTGATAACATGCACAGTTTGCATGCTTTCGGAATTGAATGTTGAGACTTACGCCAGTCCATTGGGGTGCACCTTGTGCTGATTTTTATTTATTTATTTATTTATTTATTATTTTTTGAGTGTCCTTGAGTTTTTAAGCTAAAAGCTTTTTAAAATGCTCCTGAGACACTTGCATGCTGATGCACTGCATTTCACTCGTTCTAGATGAACTGAATACATATTATGTAAATGTCACCTAAGAATGCATGTCAGGTCAACCTGAGCCAGTTAAATAGGGCTTCCTAAAGATTGATTAGCTGGTCATTTAGGCAACCCATGGGCTAGTTGTTTTTGAAAATATGTTGGTTTTCACATTTCTAGCACACAGATACTGGGTGATTTGTAATTGTTTTTCATCTTTTCTTTTTAGTATTTAATTTTATATGCACTGGCAGACAAAAGCTTGGGATAATTAAGATTTTTTTTTCCATGTTGTTGAAAGAAGTCTTATGCTCACCCAGGCTGCATTTATTTAACAAAATTTCAAATTTCAGTATATCCTACGTACAACCTTAAAACGTTGTCTAGGTTTTGGAACAGAGCTATGTGTTTTTCTCTTTCTCTGTCATGGATTTCTTCCTGAGTTCCTGTTTTCCAGTATTAAATCTGACAGCTCCACTGCTCTCTCTCTCTTCCTCTCCTCATGCCGGTTGTCATTAGCATCCGTGTGTATGTCACACTAGCTGTATGTTTCACACTGAATGTCTCGGCAGGACAGTTGAGTGACACACACTGCATGGTGTCTGTTTATGTTCTCTCAGTGGTGCACTACTCACCACTTCTCCGATGTTGGAAAGCAGCAGGTCTTTTACGGTGAGCTGGTTAACGGTGGCTGGTTGAGTTCTCTGCACTGCTGACATGCACTGAGAGTCTGTCAGACCATCAGAGAACAGACAGGCCTCCCAATCTTCTGCTCACACACACATACACACACACACACACACACACACACAGAGACAGAGAATGCGTTTACATCACTGTCTGAAGACCAACAGACAACAAAGATTTTTTCCATTTCTTAGTGGTTGTTAGTACACTACTGTGTGGTAGATAGTGTTCTGGTGGTTTCTAGGGTGTTGCTAAGGTGTTCTTAGCACATTTATATGTGGTTGCTGCTGTTCTTGAGTGTTGTTAGGTGGTTGCTAATGTGTTCTGATGGTTTTTAGCACATTGCTATTTGGGTGCTATTGCTCTCTGGGTGGTTTCAGGGCATTGGTTTGCAGTTGCTAAGGTATTTTTGGGTGGTTGTTAACACATTTCTATGTGGTTGCTGCTGTTCAGGGTGATTGTTAGTAGGGATGCACCAATATATCGGCCAATAATTGGTATCGGTTGGTTGTTTAAAAACAGTTGATGATCAGGGCAGATTATATTCCATCAAACAAAAGGGGGTGGGAAAACATGTCAGACAGCAACTTGCACGAAGAAAATGTTTCTTGTGTTGAATTTAGGGCTGTCCAGGTTAAAGCAATAATAGTGCATTAATGCAGCACTGTTAACGCGGTGTCTATTCGACCCTATGAATCACCCATAGGGTTGCTAGGTCCACGATTTTCATTCTCCAAACATTATTTGTAATGTGCCTCCCATCCAATCATCGCAAAGAGCTTTGTGCTTTGTTACGGCTGATAAGAAACAAAGTCTTAGCTTTCAAATCCTGTACATTTTATCACAAAATTCAAACAATTCATGCCATTTTGACGCTTAAATGTGACGTGACAGATTGCTGAAGCTCTTATTCAAGTGGCAGTCTATTCCAAGTTCATAGAAGTTATAGCACAGAAGGCACAGTGCCCTCCACTAATATTAGCACCCTTGGTAAATATTACCAAAGGTGGCTGTGAAAATAAATCTGTTTCTCTTTTTGATCTTTCATTCAAAAAATTCACAAAATTTTAACTTTTCTTTGAAGTAAAACAATTGAAAATAGGGGTAAACATTATGAAATAAATGTTTTTTTCTCAAGTGCATGTTGACCACAATTATTGGCACCCCTAGAAATTCTTATGAGTAAAATATCTCTGAAGTATATTCCCATTCATATTTACAATTTTTAGCACACAAGGGTGACTAGATGCATGAAATCGTCCAGCCATGACTTCCTGTTCGACTGGATTATAAATATGAGGAACACAAAGGGCAAATTCCCTTAATCATCCATCACAAGGAGTAAAACCAAAGAATATAGTTCTGATGTGCAGCAAAAGATTGTTGAGCTTCACAAAATAGAAAGTGGCTGTAAGAAAATAGCTAAAGCATAGTTCCAATCACCTAAAGATGTTACAAATCTGCCTGGAAGAGGAAATGTGTCTATATTGTCCTAATGCACAGTGAGGAGGAGATTTTGAGGATCACAGCTGGAGAATTGCAGAGATTAGTTGAGTTTGGGGTCAGAAAGCCACAAGGATCTGTCCTAGGTCCTCTGCTATTTTCGATATACATGTTGCCCCTTGGTAATATTATTAAAAAATACGGGATTAGTTTCCACTGTAATATGACTGGTGCTTCTACAGGTCTAACTTCTAGATGGGGAGTCATCTCAGTTATCACCAGTAAAATATGGAGTGCCACAAGGATCTGTCCTAGGTCCTCTGCTATTTTCGATATACATGTTGCCCCTTGGTAATATTATTAAAAAATACGGGATTAGTTTCCACTGTTATGCCGATGATACTCAACTATATATCTCAACAAGACCAGATGAAACAGAGTGTGTTAAAAATTTAAAAGATTGGATGACCAATAATTTTCTCCTATTAAATTCGGATAAGACAGAGATATTACTTATTGGACCAAAAGACAGTACACCGAATCTCGTGGATTACAATTTGCAACTAATGGTCAGATGAAACAAAAAAAAAAAGATATTTTTGGCAGCAAACCCACCAGATGGGTTTGGTACAAACAGGCATAAAAAGTACCCCATGTCCACAGTTAAATGTACTGCTGGATCTTTAATGTTGTGGGCCTGTTTTTCTGCTGGTCCTGGACATCCTATTCAGATACATGGCATCATGGATTCTATAAAATACCAACAAATAAAATAAAAAAAACTGACTGCCTCTGTTTGAAATCTTATAATGGGCCGTGGTTGGATCTTCCATCAGGACAATGATCCAAAACAAACATCAAAATCAACACAAAAATGTGCCACTGAGCACAAAATGAAGCTTCTGCCTTGGCCGTCCCAGTTCCCTGACCTGAACCCTATAGAAAATGAGTGTGGTGAACTGAAGAGAAGAGGCACCAACATGGAGCTGCGATTCTGAAGGATCTGGAGAGATTCTGTATGAAGGAATGGTCTCTGATCTCTCGTCAGGTATTCTCCAAACTCATCGGCATTATGGGAGAAAAAGATGCTGCAGTAATTGGGTGCCAATACTTGTGGCCAACGTGAACTAAAGAAAAATCAATTATTTCATAATGAGATCCCCCCCCCCCCCCCCCTTCCCCCCCGATTTCCATTGTTTTACTTCAATTATAGGTTAGAATTGTTTTTGAATGAAAGTTCAAAAGGATAAATGAGACAGATTTATTTTCACAGCCACCTTTACACATATTTACCAAGGGTCCCAATTTTAGTGGAGGGCACTGTATGTTGAATGATACAGTACAACTTATCGAAATGTATCACATCTCATGTAACCTCTCAATCAGTGTTTCAACCAAAAGACATCAAATAAAAACAGCTTGGGAACAATATGTCACTTAACGATGCATTTACCTCTGGAAAGTTATCCAGTGTTCACAGTTCGTTAGTTATCTATTTAAAAAAAAAAAAACAGATATCATTGTGAATAATTGCCTATTGGTATTGGCTGAGAAATTTAGTATCTGGAAGATCTGGAATATCACAGGCTTCTCCTGCCTGCTTCAGAATTATAAGTTTATTCAGTTTAAGTTAGTCATTCTTCATTACATTCACTCAGGCTTTGAACTCTGAAAGCTTTGAAAGTCTATTGTGTGTTGTGATGTTTTGAAGACCCTACAGCTTTTTTTATGATTGAAAGAATAAATGGAAATTCAACCATTCCCCACATTATTTGCGATAGCCTGCAATTTTGCTTTATTTGGGCAATTTTGAAGCAAGTCAGTATCAGCTATTCAAGATCCATAAATCCCAGGCTAATTGAGATCAACGAAATGTTCATATGATTACCTGTCCTGCAGCTCTACTATTACAGAGAATCAGTACGGCCTGCAGAGGGTAGTACACAATATGTACCCAAGCAGAAAAACAAAAAACAAAATGTGATGTTTTCTTACCAAGTTGAGTTGATTTCTTAGTGCATCTCTGATGCAGCATCAATTATTGTATATTACACAATTATATAAAGATTTTTTGACTGTAATATTTTAGTATCATTTATCATGAATTTGTATTTCCTTTTTTAAATTAGTTAAAATTCTAGTAATTTTGTTGTGTTTTTTTTCTTCTTTTAATGTCTATATAGTTTTTATTCATTTTTATTTTTGTTTGTTATTTTTAGTACATCAAGTTAAGCTAAACTGTAGCTGAAATATAGTAAGTTTAAGTTTTTTTTTCAGTTCAAATTTCAAGTAACAAAGTGAGTTTTTATGGTTTTAGTAACTGTTTGAAGAGTGAAATCTCACCCAGATCAATGGAGACATCAGGCTCTGTGTTTGCGACAGGTGCGTCCTGCTGCTGAAGATGCTGAGGGAGAAGATGAGGATGCTGAGGGAGGAAGATGGAGTTGAAAAGCGGGCTGACGGACGGCGGCGGGCTGTCCAGGTGGTCAGACGGGGTGTCGTCACTGATTCCGCTGTCAGAGGGTGAGGAGACCCACAGAGGAGAGCAGGGCTGCGACACACCATCTGACGCTTGCAACAGGGAGTCCAAGAAGTTATCAACAACACCGTCTTCACCATGACACAGAATCTGCAGGAACACAAAGGAGTCACACAAAACTGTAACGTATCTGACTCATAGATGATAAATGTACCCACCTGAGTCTCAGCAGAAACACACACACACACACACACACACACACACACACACATATATATATACTGTATTTTTAAATAAATATTAAATACATTTATTAAAATTATATACAATTTGTAGTGTATATTTTTAAACAAATATATTTAGCCTTGAATTGTTCATTTTCAACCGTTTTCTGTTTTCAACATGCCTGTCCGCAATATGGCTTTGCACACTTGTTAGTATTTGCTAACAGCAGCTTTAACAAATTAACCCAACCAGCTATGACATTCATTCAATTTCACTGATGTAACACCGCATTTCAAGGGAAATCAAACTGTGAAAGCACTCCTGATGCAATGCATACATTTTAAACAGATATACATTATAATTCAAAAGTTGAGTTCAAGGTGCAACAAACAACAGCAAGGTGTTGTTTTTTGTTTTGCTTTTTTTTTAATTGGTATTTTTATTCAGCAAGGATGAATTAAATTGACCAAAGCTGACAGTAAAGTCTTTTACAAAGAAATTCAAAGAAATTATAAACTTTCTATTCAGCAAAAAAAGTATCACAGTTTATTATTATAAATAAGATATTATAGACAATAATCAGAAATGTTTCTTGAGCAGCAAATCAGCATTAGAATGATTTATATATATATATATATATATATGTGTGTGTGTGTGCGTGTGTGTGTGCGTGTGTGTGTAAGTCAAAAACCTAGCGACCTGTGTACATGGTCAGCATATTAAGACATCATAGGTACCGGATGGTACATGATGTCTTAATATGCTGACCATGTACACAGGTTGCTAGGTTTTTGACTTACACACGCACACACACACACACACACACACAACAGTGTCAGACACAAACACACAGAAGTTGACGGATAAATTTGGGTCAGACATGTAATATGCTGTCACTGTGTTTACAGGAAGCCTTTCAGGGTGTCTCATTAATTAACCAAATTAAAATAACTAAAAATACAATTTTCTCAGCATGCTCTCAGCAGGAAGGTTGTCTTGTGATTTATCATATAAACTCAGGTTACAAATATCAAATGCCAGTTCACTCACGCTTTGATCTGTGATTGACCATGCTGGGTTGCCATGGTCACCTTTGCTGTCCATGTGAGGGTCCATATGGGGCTCGAGGAGCAGGTCTAGGAGTTCAGTCCCAGAGTAACCCTGAGATATAGAGGAAAGATGAGAAGTTAGAGGAAACAGAGGAAAAACAAATGTATGCCATGACATAAGGTGCTTTCACACATTACACCTGGTAAATTACTGTAAAAAATACTGGCATTCTGTTTTTTTACCATTAAGATACCATTCACACATCAGAACCAAACTACAGATAAATTGTGTCCTATCAGTCAACAGAATGACCTTTAAATGCTGTGTCGTTTCTTCTTCTGTCAGGATGAGAAGCACTTTTCATACTTGAAATAGTTAACCTTGGGTTATTCTAACGGAATCTTGGTTATATCTTCCTTTATGTGTCAAACTCATGCTTTATTATTAAACCTGCACTCTAAAAAGGTGGTTCTTTAAGCACTTTTATGCTGAAATGGTTCTTTATGTTAGAGTTTAAGGCTCTTTATTCCTGCCGTTTTGATTGTCAAATCTGTAACTGCCAGCTGTCAATCATCCAGAAACACAGACTGTCAGCACACTCTCAACAGGTAAAGCATTTCATTCTTAATGTCTAACTTTCAAAATGGAACAGGTTTGCTACCAATCATGTCTTTTCCTATTTTTACTTTTTGCTCAGTTGAGGATATTTCCCTCCTCTTCTCTGCTATGTAAGTAACAGGGATATTGAATGTATGGTCCATATTGTTGTCTTGAATTATTGCTTGGGTTACCTTTCATTGCCTTTTACCATTGTGAAGGGCTCACAGTACTTTCATAAACGTAATTGGAAATGGAAGAGACAGACTTTAACTCATTTGTGTATTTCTGCCCAGATTCCGCAACACCGCACAACCTCAGAGAGAAACTGCCACTCAAAATACTCACAGAATGATGGACTTAAAGGCATCATAGAGGATTGTGAATATATTTTACTGGAACTTGATTGCAACATCTTCATTGCCTCTATTTTTTATAGAGTTTGGAAATGAAGTGCTGGAAACCTACCGTAATTGTTAGAATGTCGAAGGATCAGCATTTTCCACCTAAAAGTGATTGATTGGGCAGACCAAACCCTAAGTCGTAGAGACTTGAAACTTTGAGAGATGGTAGTACTCACACCGTCTACAACGTCACCAAGGCTCACGCCAATTGGCCTGACGGGGGCGCTACAGCAATCAAAAGTCCAAAATCACTCATAACTCCTAAACTGTTAGTCGCAAGCTCAAGTGCCTTATATCGTTTGAATACTTGGCTCATAATGAACAAAACTCATGCCTCGGATTTCATCGTCAAATTTTCGGGTATTTTGGATTTTTTTAAAAACCTACTTTTGCGAATTAGTCCTAGGTTTTTCACCCGATTGGAAAACGCATGCCTCGGATTTCATCGTCAAATTTTCAGGTATTTTGGATTTTTTTTAAAACCTACTTTTGCGAAATAGTCCTAGGTTTTTCACCCGATTGGAACCAAACCAGTGCAGAAAGATTCTCTGGAGAGTGGATATCAATAATTATCCAAAAAAAAAAAAAGTTGAACTTGCAACTCACCGTCGCGACAGAATCCTAAAATGTTCATAAAGGGTGGAGCCGCTTTTACTAAAATGACTGTAACTCTTGAATGGAAAGAGATATTTTCGCCAAACTTGGACCACGGATGTAAGAGAGTCTGGCCACTTGGTGGCGCTATAACAGGGAATAAACATTAAATTGGCTAGAACTACACACCCGATAGTCCGATCGACTTGAAAATTGGTATGCCGTGTCTTTGTCCAATGTGCCACAAGTGTCTTTGAGGACATTCTCTTATCTCAAACTCCAATGAATTTTGAGCACCTATAAGGCAAGGTTAACAGAGGCAGATCGGAACCAAACTTGGTGGGCATGTTTGACTCATGGTCCAAAAGGTCTGTAAGAATTTTGAAAGAAATTGGCCACTATTTACGCCTCTGAAATCACGTGGTGTTTCACACATCCACACAATATGCATATCATTTGATACACTCTTAAAAATAAAGGTGCTTCAAAAGGTTCTTCAAGCGATGCCATAGAAGAACCATTTTTGGTTCCACAAAGAGCCATTCAGTCAAAGGTTCTTTAAAGAACCATCTCTTTCTTACCTTTTTATAATCTGAAGAACCTTCTTTCACCACAAAGAACCCTTTGTGAAACAGAAAGGTTCTTCAGATGTTAAAGGTTCTTTATGGAACCATTTAGACAAAAAGGTTCTTCTATGGCATCGTGAAGCACCTTTATTTTTAAGAGTGTAGATATCTTCATACTGAACAACTTTGCCTCAAAAACCACTGCTGTCAGTCAAACTGTTTGTTAAATATTCTCGATTATGTAAAAAATGTGACGCGTCAGTTTAATTTTGAAAGAGAGCAAGATAAGACTGAAGTGACGTAACATTTAATATTTGTTTTATGACAAAATTGACTTTTTTCCTCAAATTTCTCAGCTTTAAACTGAAAATATGGGATTGTCGTGATTCATGTAATTCCTAACTGAATGTGACGAGAAATGAAACGTTCTGCATTTTCGACATATTAGGCACGCAAATAGGAGTGAATGTGCGCATATTTTAAAACATTATTTGCAAATACTTCAAAATGATTACTTCTCAAAGAGAATTAGATATAGAATTTCCTTCACTCTTCTATTTGTTCATACTTTTCACCCCCCAGTGTTCAAGACATGGATAAGACCTTGCATTGTGGTGACCTCTCAGATATTCTTCAGAACATGTCTTTGTTATTTTCCTATGTCTGGGGTCCTGAATGAAAAACTTCCCTCCACAAATGAGGCAGGAAGCTGCTCCGACCATTAAAGTTTAACCAGTTCTGTTCCGTTGTACTGGCATAAAGTATTCATTTGAAAGCCTGCAATGTTATTAGTAGTACTGTAGCACAGAGAACACCCATAGAATATGACATTGGTAACACAGCTGACTGTTTGTGACACAGCTACCAGAAAAGGATTGGTTCTTTCCACAAGCCTGGTTACAGCATAAAGCAGCAGGATAGCATCAAATCTGTCAGGAAATGACAAAATAATCAATGCATCCATGTGGCGGGCCATGCACCTGATATAATGAGCACAATGACACAAAACTCATGACCCAGATGCAGCTGTCATCTGACCTGTTGAAGATGTGGAGGAGTGATGAAGACTTTTGAGCCTTCTCATCAGCTCTGCCGGCTTTAAAGACACAGAAGAGAAATACGAAGGCAAAAGAATATCATACTCTGAACAACATCTTGATGTACTAGATGTTAAAGCCGTGAGTGAAAAATCCTTCTGCCAGAGAAAGAAAACTCGACCCCAGGGCAGATAGAGCAATGTTTCAGCATTGCACACATACACACCCACACTGGATTGAAACGATAGGCTATGAATCACAGTTTTATTGGTTTTCTGTTTAAGTTTGTTTGGGCTGATAAGCTATCTGTGCAGAATTACATTAACTTGTTAGTTGTGCTAAGCCGATAGACATGATGATACTCGTAATGTTTCTAGCAACATTTTCTCACACTAAACTTCTAGTGTACTCTTTTTGTCTTGGTAGATAAGTACTTTCTGCATTTTATTATTGCCTTTGGGAAGAAAAATCATAAATTAGATCTTTTCCATCTTTGATCTCAATTGCTTTTTGCAGACAGCAATTAGATTAAATATAGAGATATTTATTGAGAGATAAAATGGAGATGTTTGCTTACTGTAAATCTCCTGCCCTTAGATTTATCCTCTGAAAAACATGCCGCGGTAGTATATTTCTATCAGATATAACTATCAGATTTCAGAGGCAATGTCTCAAATTGTGTTCAGATGATATCAAAGTCTGCAGTCAAAAGTCTAAATATAAACTCATCAAAAAACGTCTTTCATCAAATTCTACGAAGACCAAATTATTTGAGCTATGTATATTAATTTCATATTGAGATCTCTTATTTTAGTATAAGTTACTAATCGTTTTAATTAATATTTTGAATTGTATTTATCTTTGTGTTTATTAGTTTTTTATTTCAGTTTTAGCTGTTTTAGTTCATCAAAGAAAAAATGAAAACATTTACATATTTTGAAAAACACTAGTATTAGTTGCTTTGGCAACTAGCTGAAATAAATTAAGCATATATGTCATGATCCCAGCCTGTGTTCCCCTGTCTTGTGTGTTGTACTCTTATTTTGAAATCCAGTGTTTTCCCCAATGTTTCTGTGTTCACTCCTGTTTGCCTTTGGTTCTAGCACTGCCTCATTTGTTTCCATGGCAATTCATTAGCTCCACCCTCTTGTTACCTCCTTACCCTGTGTATATATACCCCCCTTGTTTTAGTGCATATTTGTCAGTCGTTGTGCTTTCTGTAGATGCTCTTGTGTAGCATCCTGTGTTTATTTTATTATTTTCTTTGTAACATTAAACCTCATCTCACCTTTATCCAGCCAAACATTATCTCTCTCTCTCTATCTCTCACACACACACACACACACACACACACACACACACACAGACAGAGACAGACAGACATACAGACAGAGTACTTGTGTGTGTACGTAGTTTATTGTATATCAAGTAACTGTTATGTTTTTCATTTTTGACAACTATAATAACCATGCTTTAATATCTCTCCAAGACAGCAATAATATTGAATGGAGATCAAATACTTTAGTCCCAGCTGTTTCTTTGATTTTTATCCTAGGAAAACATGTCCTTGAAATCTCACATGTGGCTTGTCTAGAGTTTCAGAAGAGATCTGACACAAAGTTGATATTTAAATGAAACATAAGAAATCCTGAGCTATAAAAAGAGCAGTTAAATGTTTCTTTATCATTGCATGGGTGGCTGCGGTTTATTGACAGATTCCTAAAGGAAAGGTGTGATATTTAGTATAACAAAGCTGAGAATTTGTGCTAAGAATTTGAAGGTGGTAATAGGTATCTAATACCAAAACAGATCAATTTCTCCAATGGATACCACATACTCTTGGGAACGTCTAAACCTCAGCCTACTTTTCATTCCAGACGGTTTGTTTGTTTCATTGACTTGATTCTTCAGCCCCCGCAACCTACTTTGCACTGTGGTCATGCGCTTTTGCAGTGAAGATAAGCTTATCTTATCTGAGCAAAGTTTTATATGACTTGTGCTAATGGCACAGAAGAGTTACACACAAAATAATGGCAAGCTTGGCTAGTCAAACTCTAAAGAGCACGAGACAATTTCACAGCTGGTGGTTTCGAGGACACCTCAAGAATATTGGTGAAGTGAGACTCCTGAGAGCAAAGCCAGATGCATTTAATTGTACTTTGTACAAAAACAAATCTAAGAAACCTAAACATGCATGCAACCACACAGCATATACACAACAAAAGAGCAATGCCTAAACTCCGATTTCATTTGGGAGGTTTTGCATAAACTGATTGCTGTACTAAATCAAGATTATAGATGGCAAAGTAATCCACTGACGCAACAAACAGCTCTCATGGATGAGCGCATGTGAGTAATTAAGACGTTTTACTCTAATTGCGTAGATCTGTTAAACTTTCTCTGCCTCATCTGTTGTTAATGGAAGAAGTCTGAGAGGAGCCTTGGGTTTTATTCTTGTTTACGTGTGTGCTGAGCTACTAGGCTAATTAGGAAAAGTTAATTATCACCGGGGTTTGGGTTATTGCATTTCCACAAGCACTGGTTCATTAACACCTCAAATAACACCTTGATAAATGAGATAGAACTGAGTTTAAATGTAACTGTAATCTCAAACATAGCTCCTCTATTTCATAAGAGATTTCAGAATTGCCAAGATCAAGCATCAGAGATTTCAATATAAGCATTTTATTTATTTATGTATGTATGTATTTTAATCAAATTGATCAAAGACAAGCATTTTCTTTTGGTTGTTTTGTGGATCCACTTCCGATCATCTGCCTCAATACCATTGGGTAAAAAAAAAAAAGTTTTTAAAGTTGTTTAGTGTGTAATGAAGAACCAATTTTAAAATAAAAGAGAAAAATTATTTTAAATGTTTTTAAATAATGATATAATATTTAAGACATTTAATGGAGTGATATCATAACCGTATTTAATTTCGTTTCATTATATGTTTACACATATACTGGGGTGTTATTTCAATACTACAAATTTGTTAGAAGAAAAAAAAAATCAATCTTCAGAAAAAATATGAAAAATTTTTGCACTGAACTTTAAACCCAAAATGTTTTGAATATAAATATTTTTACTTATCTCATTTATCTCCTCGTTATGTCTTATTCAGAAGTCAAAGGTCTCAATATGAACTTTCAATATCGCTCAAAAGTTTGGAATAATTACATTTTTATAATGTTTTTGAAAAAACTCTCTTAAGCTCATAATGTGAGACTAAAGACTGAAGTTAAATTTCAGCTTTGTCATCACAGGAATAATTGAAAAATATGTTAAAATAGAGTTTATCAAGTTTTTTTCTATTTAAATTGTAATAATATTTCACAATAATACCCTTTTACTGTCTTTTTGAGCCAATAAATGCAGTATTCATGAGCAGAAGAGACTTATTTTAAAAACAATGAAAATTCTTTATTATTCCAAACTTTTGACTGGTATCTTTTATATGTGTTCGTCATACAATACTTTTTCTTAAACCGAAAACTATTAGTATATAATATAAAAAATATAAAATATTTTCACAATTTTAAACACAATATTTTGGAGGATGCACCCAGGTATGGTGTTCTCATAATGTCTTTACTTGAGGTCAGTTCTTTGGGCCAGTTTGGCAATAAGCCTTTCAAATTAAATGACTAAAAAACACATAAAAATGTCAGTGTCACCTGGCTGATAGTGACCTGATTCTAATATGACACTAACAATGAAAATCTCAGTAAAAGCAAAGGAAATGCAATACTTCACCTTGTCTGAGAGATGTGCCATGTTCCAGGCACTAGAATCACCAACAGAAATACAAGCAAACAGAAGAAAATGATTAAAATCCAGAGAGAAAACCTGAGTATGTCAGTTTGGTGCTGTTCTCTGAACATTTGTGTTCCTGAATGTGTTCTCTGTTCTAGGGCAAAGTTGAAACTGCTGATAAACTCCAGATAATGAGCGTATGATTCAGCTGGGTTGTTAATGCTCAGAGGGCTTTGACTGACAGGGTAAATCATACATGTGAGGATCTGCATTCTGTTTATCAGTGAGATGACGATGATGATGATGATCGCATCAAAATGAATTAACATGATTACAGGAGAGGATGACATCAATGTCCGAGTGAAATGTAAATTAAGTGGAGACATGTGAGAAGATTTTATTGCCTAGAAGTTTCAATTTCACAGCTCAAGTGTTACGGGGCTGACGAGACGTGAGACTTGCGGATCCATTCGCAGAGCTTTATTAGACACAGACAGAGACGTGGTCATACAGCAGGCATGGGTCAGATGAGGGCAAACAGGTATATGGTGGGCAAAACACAAGAATAGTCCTAGGGCTAGCACAGGTCGACGATCGGCAGACAGAATCAAAAGGGGCAAGACAAAAGGGGTGAATCCAGGGAACCAGGCGAAGATCAGAAACCGGGAAGGCTAAGGCTAAGGCTAAGGCAAATGACTAGGGCTAAGGCTAAGGCAAACGACTAGGGCTAAGACTAAGGCTAAGGCAAATGACTAGGGCTAAGGCTATGACAAGGGCTCCGTGAGGTAGCTATCTCTAGGAGAGTGATAAATGCTGAAACAATACTCGGCAGAGGGAAGGGATCAGAGTGAGTGTTAAATAGTGAGGAAGTGATATGAAACAGCTGGGTGCAATCAGTGTAAACAGGTGTGCAATTCGTGCTGAGTGCAATCAGTGCAATGCATGATGGGAAATGTAGTCCGGGGTGCTATGCAACAGTTTGTGTGGTGCGAGAGTCAATGAAAAGGAAAGTTCATGGACCGGATTCGTGACATCAAGAGACTTAAAGGAATAGTTCACCCAAAAATGAACTTTTGCTGGAAATGTCCTCACCCTCAGGCCATCCAAGATGTAGATGAGTTTGTTTCTACATCCGAACAGATTTGTAGAAATGTAGCGTTCCATCACTTGCTCACCAGTGGATCCGCTGTAGTGAATGGGTGCCGTCAGAATGAGAGTCCAAACAGCTGATAAAAACATCACGATAATCCACAAGTAATCCACACCAGTACAGTCCGTCAGTTAACATATTGAAATGTGAAAAACTGTGTTTGTAAGAAACAAATCCATCATTAATTTTTTTTACTTTAAACTGTTGCTTCTGGCTCAAATATGAGTCTATAATATTGCTTTCTCTAGTGAAAAAGTTGTCTGAATCAGGAGAGAAATATGCAGATCAATCACCGATTACAAGCAAAAACAGTCAGAACAGTTCTAAACAAATATATTGGTGGATTTTGATGTGAAAAGGAAAAGAATAAAATAAACACAGGATGCTACACAAGAGCATCTACAGAAAGCACAACGACTGACAAAAGGGGATGGATTTTTTCACTAAGGGGAAGATTATGGACTTTTATTTTGGCCAGAAGCAAAACTTGAAAACATCTTGATGCATTTATTTCTTACAAACGGGCAGCTTTTCACTTCAAAAGATTTTAATGAAAGCTCTGGAGTGGTGTGGATTACTTGTGGATTACTGTGATGTTTTTATCAGCTGTTTGGACTCTCATTCTGACGGCACCCATTCACTGCTGAGGATCCACTGGTGAGCAAGTGATGCAATGCTACATTTCTCCAAATATGTACTGATGAAGAAACAAACTCTTCTCAGTTTGGTTCCATTGCTTTCTGGGATAATCTCGCTTGTGATTTTTAAATCTCAATGAGGTAATGTGTTTGTGTAGACTTGCAGTGCATATTTACATACTGAAATCTTCCTGAAATAATGACATGCTGCATGTGCGTGAACCTGTGCATTCTTACAACCTCCATGACCGCTCTTAACCTGAGGTTTGGCAAAGAGATAAACCCAAACCTGAAACTCAACAAGTCTTTAACTATGCAATGACTGCATGCTTATCCTGTATTTGTCCCAGCTGTTATCATATAGGATAAGACTGCTAACATTGGGAACTACACATTGTTCTGCTCATCAGAAAAAAAAGAGGAAAGTGTTACATAACTCATGCACAACTCCGGACATGTTTCAGTGATTATGTTGGCTTGACAAAATGAGTATACTATTATTGTGCAAACTTATATATCAACAGCCTCAGAACCAATTGTAACCACATTTAGCAACTGCCTAGCAACTTATTAGCAACACGGGGGCAGTCGTGGCCTAATGGTTGGAGAGTCAGACTTGTAACACAAAGGTTGTGGGTGTGAGTGTCGGTACCCACTTGAGTCTCATGCTCACTGCTTCAGGGGTGTGTGTGTGTGTGTTCACTACTCAATGCTGTGTGTGTGCACTTGGATAGGATAAATGCAGAGCATAAATTCCGAGTATGGGACACTACTTGGCCTCAAGTCACATAAAACACTTTATCAGCTAAACTGTTAAATATTCATATTCATGTACACTATAAAATATGTTTCAAAGTTAAAACAAAAATTATTGGAGTACATTTTACAATAAAATACTATGTCTTTCTACTTCAAAACATATTTAATACAAAGTGTTACTTGAAGTTCCTTTGTTAAATAATTGTGAAATGTACTAATTTTTGAGTGGAAATTGTTTCTACACCACATTTTTAAGTGTTATTGAACAGAATGCACACTTCTTTGTACAGAATCTGTGACATGATGTTAATTACCATAGAAAATAATCTCAACTCAGTTTGCAAAAACAAAGAAAAAGCATTTACAGAAATGAATTTGCAATGGAAGTCTTTGGGGAAACTGTTGACCCATGACGTGCCAATATAGTTCTTCTAAAGCTGTACTGAAGGTCAGAATACATTTCTCAGTGCCTCCCAGACATGCCTGCAAATAAGCCTGACATGACCTGAGAATCTGGACGCTCACATTCAAGAGCAAAGGTCATATTGACTCTGTCAAACAGACAGTGAGGCATTTTAAGGGTATTAGGATCTTTGATATTATTGACTTGCGTGTGTGTGTGTGTGTGTGTATGGATGCTAAAGGTGGAACGTCTGCAAGTTAAGCAGTTAAAGTCTCACACCAAGCACAATTCTTCCAAGAAAATGGTTCAGATAGAATCTAACACAAAAAAAGGTAAAGAAAACCAATTAACTCGCTGTTCCAAATCCTGGATCCACAAAAGGGGAATTCAAAAGAAGAAAAAAAGGATTCAGATTCAAATTTATTTGTGTGAGTATATGTGTGTGGGTCAGGCGTTGCCTTTATTGTGAGGACGAAATGTCTCCGTAAGGAAAGTAAACTCTGAAACCAGCCAATAGTCCCCATGAGGAAAAAACGGCTTACTAAATTTACCACATAATGGTATAATGAAACTCTAAAAATTCAAACATGGGTGTCCATCAGACCGAAATAATGGATTTGTTTCTTACAAACGCACAGCTTTTCTCTTCACCAGACTTTAACTGATGGACTGGAGTGGTGTGGATTTCTTGTTGATTATTGTGATGATTTTATCAGCTGTTTGGACTCTCATTCTGACGGCACCCATTCACTGCAGAGGATCCATTGGTGACATAATGCTAAAATTCTCCAAATATGTTCTGACCTGTTTCAGCACATTTTAATGCAGCTATTCCTTTAAGGGTATTTTAGGTAAAATCCATCATTCACAGTCGATTCTGTCATCATCTATCTACCCTCATGCCACTCCAAACTCGTGTAACCTTTACCTGTAGAACACAAAATAGGTTATTATGAAAATGTCAAAGCTGCTCTAATCCATACAATAGAAATGCATGATGATCACTGTCAAGTTGTACTGTTTAGAACCACCACTGGTTTCCCCTCAAAGATGGTACATGATGGTCAGTATGAAAACAACAGAAGTCAAGAAAAACAAATTAGTATTTGTGTGTGTGTGTGTGTGTGTTTAAGATCAGAAACCAATTTAAAGAGCATTCACAGTCTACCGAAACAATGTTTTGGCTGTGGTATTGTATAAATTCAACAATCAAAATTGAAACAGTAACATTCATATGTTTCCAGGAATTTGTTATAATACACAGAGTCCTTGTCTCCTACCACAGCTGTCATGAATTTCTGAAAACTGTTTGGCCAAATGCGGTGAAGAAACACATTGAACTTTACTACCAGATGCTCTTAATACATTTTATTGTCATACAGTTTTGATGAGATCAGTTGTTGCATTAGATCACAAGATATAACGCAAGATGAGAGGAGACTTTGAGCAAAAAACAATAATTGAATATTTAAATTGGACGTTACATTTTCATGCTCTTCATGTCAAGGCAGAATTTGTTTGGGTAACTTTATGTCATGAGCAGACTTTGGATTTACCAGTCAGTGTTACTGTAGTTTACTAAAACCATATACTAAAACATTTTTATGTGCAATAAGTAAACAAGAAATTCCCTGAAATAAAATAGAACTATTTTATTTCATCTACATTTCTCATTTTCATTTAATCTAATGTGATGCACTTAACTCTAAAACTAAAACTGCAAATGTACATAAATAAAAATGGTAACACTTTAGCATAAGGTTTCATTAGTTAACATTCGTTAACTACTTTAGTTAACTTGAACTAAGAATGAGCAATACTTCTACAGCATTGATTATTAATTTCAACATTTACTAATGCATTATTAAAATCAAAAGTTGTGTTTGTTAACAGTAGTTAATGCACTGTGAACTAACAATGAAATACTGTATATTTATTATCAACTAACGTTAACAAAGACTAACAAATACTGTAATATTGTTCATCGTTTGTTTATGTTATACATTAACTAATGTAAACAAATGACACGTTATAACGTGTTATCATGAAAATAAAAACTATAGACATTAAAAAAAAACAATAGCTAATAAAAATGATTAAATATGAACATAAACTCTCAATTAAGTATCCCAATTAAATGAAAATAACACTGGTGCCAGTTCACTAACAGTAACCACTGACTCATACAGCTGCATGTTCGACTGCAGTTTTATGATGGATGCCATAAAATA